GGCTGGTTGTATTTTCACACCTCATAATATTTTAAAACTTCAGGTAAGGTGATCGGTTCAGCTAGATGACAATTTCCCCCTCGCTCTCCTTTTTATTATTGCCTCTTAAGGGCGAGTTTAACTAATTGTGGCAGTAGAGGCAGGATGCAATTTAAAACAATTACAGCTTACCATATTTTAAACTACCTTAGCTTTCTGCCTAGATCGGAGAGCACTTTGGCTCGGTCTGAATCTCCAAACAGGCCCTCTGGGAGACGCGCTTTAGATGATATCAACCATTAAGTGGAGGGGGGGAAAAAGATTCATGCTGTCTGTCTTGGCAGAGTTATTTCCCTCCTTTTGCCCACAGTGAGAAATTGGTTGTTACCATAAATCACAAGCCTTACTTTTAGAGAGGAATTCATACCACTAATGCTCTCACAGAAACCTGCTATGCTCATAGGTCTAGACCAGGAGTGGGAAATCTCAGATCCAGGGAAGTGGTGTGTGTGTGTGAGTGGGTTATATGTGGCCCTCCAGTTCTATCTATCTGGCCCTCAGGAATCTCTCTAGGCCATGCTCCATCACATCCCACATCCCTCACTGGCTTGGCTCGGCCCCGTCCTTGCATGCTTTTGCTTGGCTGGAATATTGAACTGCGATAATGCCTCTTACTTGTTTGGATAGAGAAAGGTGGGCAGTAAAGTTTCCATGGCTTCAATGCAGCCTGCTGTACAAAATCAAGAGACATATCTGTTGCTCCACTCACTTTTGCCTCTGGACACACTTACTGCTGGTATGTGGCCCTGAAAAGGTTCCCATTGAAGGACTATTGCCCTTGGGCTATAATATTTATCCCTCCCCAGTCCTAGGCCTGTTCCTCTTTCAGCCCCCTGGTAATTTGTAACAGGAGAGGTCTCTCTTTAGGTTGGGACTGCTGATATTTGAAGACTGCTGCAAGTGGGTCTCTGGGGGAAAAACCAGATGAGAGGTAGTTCATGTTCACAAATGCATGGTCATCTCTGTTTGGGTATATGTGTGTGGGGGAGAGGTACAGGGGGCAATTGCTTGGTTCACATCCATGAATAGGCTACATAAGCATTGATAGTCAACATTGGTAGATAGGGACTGCAATGTTGTCGCCAATTCCCCTCCCCTCCCCACTGGCAAGAATCTCACTAACGAACTCCATAAGCCTAATGGGGGGGGGGGGGGAATAATCACAAAACAAATTCAACTATAGGATGATAATGTCCCCTTGCCATGAGCTAACTAAATTAAACACACCTTAGAAACATCAACTGTAGCTGGTAGGTTTCACATCAACAATTAGGCTGCATGTTTTAGAAGTGGAATCGGGTACTCTCACACCTCATCAGCCAGAAAGCAATTGGTCCCCTCTCTGCGCTTTCTGCTTTTGCTGGGAGGACTCACTTATCAGATACTACAGAGGGATGTAAAAGATTTGAGACCACTGCACATAGAATCCTGAGGAGAATTGACAACAAGGAACTGGTTGAAGATTTCCCACATGTTACTAGAGCTTTCTGCCCTTATCTAGCTCTGCCCATTTGAAGGAGAAAAAACGTTCTCCAAATTATCCTTTATTAAAAATAGATTACGGTCAACAGTGCTGCACTCAAGACTGTCATTATCTTTTCTCTCCACAGAACAGGAACTTCTGAGAAAAATTACTTTTGATAACCCGCTGTCTGAATTGGCTGCCAAGTAATGTTGGATGGGCGAGGGGGGAGGGGAGGGGAGAGAAAAGAAGAAATCGTAAGATTTACAATAACCCAAATACAGTTTGTCATTATATGTAAAAAGAGAGAGAGAGGATCCTTTGCCATTGTTCTAGATGTTTATATTATGTGATAAAACATGAAAAGAGGATCCCATATGCAGAAGGACTGGAGGTGTGCGCCACATTACAAGTGAATCCAATATACTATTGAATATAGTAATATATGGTGTCTGAAAATATTATATGCATATTTGGGTGGGGTTTTTTTCCAGTGGAGAGAAAAATAATATTGACAAATGGTACTGTGGGAAGGAAGGAGGTTTCAAATAAACAGTCAGCCCCTCTCAGCGTCTTAAAAGGGGCTCGTAATCACCACTCACTGACTACAGTAACAAGCAATTGCTTGGATGTGTGAATGAGTCAGCACCCAATTTCATATCATTCAAAGTCAACTTTTTAATGGAGACAATTCATCTGAGAGTCACCCAATACTGAGTAATCCAATGACTGGAAACATCTTGTCCAATAGCCTCCCAGGAACTGCTGCATCCACACAATACATTGAAAACAACATCATACCAATTTAGACAGCGATGGCTTCCCACAAATAATTCTAGGAACTGTATTTTATTAAGGGTGCTGAAAGTTGTTAGGAAGTTCCTATTACCTTCCCAGAGTTACAATTCCAGTATAGCCTCACAACCAATGCCTCTTCCCAGAGAACTCTGGGAATTGCCACTTTTTGAGGGGCACAGGGGTCTTTTAACTACTCTCAGCACCCTTAAGAAACTACAGTTCCCAGAATTCTTTGGGAAGAAGCCATGACTGTTCGAAGTGGTCTAATAGTGCTATAAATGTCTGTTGTGGATGTGGCTCAAGAGCCACCCTCTGGGGCAGCAGAGAACAAACCTTTGTCCTTTTCTGTCTGATAGCCCTAGGATGTCCTCCTTCAATTTTTCTGAGGGACGAGGGAAAGCATTTGAAAAGAATCAGGGTCATCTGAGACCACAGGAGTGGATTCTCCAATAGCAAAACCCACAGAGATAAGAAAAGTGAATCACACAGCAATGGAACTCCAGCATTGTCGCGGAACACCAGCTCCATGTGTGAAAGAAACAATGAGCGGCAGGCAATCCAGGCAGGGAGTTATCAAGAGAAGGATAACATAGCAGCTCTTCCTATTTGCACTGTGCTCTTGCTCTACATGAGCCAACTTACAATCACCAGATCGAATTAGAGGGCTGTGTGTGGCGCTTGGTTTTTTGCAGTCTCAGTGGCAGGGATGAATGGAAAAACAATGCATTGCTGGAAACGACTAGTAAATGTGAGGGATATGAGGACTGGGAGGGACGGCTTGCGGGGTTAGGACTGCTAGCTTTGAAATACAAAATTCAGATGCCAGGGCAGGGCCTGAGGACAGAGCCCAAAGCAGGCTGCTCAAAGGGTAGAGTTGGACACTTGTTCATCACCCAAAAAAGACGGCAAATGATGACTTGGATCTGCATAACATTTGGATATGCTAATGCTTATGAAGATCAAACCTATGCATTCTGAAGGAAATCAGCCCTGAGTGCTCACTGGAAGGACAGATCCTGAAGCTGAGACTCCAATACTTTGGCCACCTCATGAGAAGAGAAGACTCCCTGGAAAAGACCCTGATGTTGGGAAAGAAGGAGGGCACAAGGAGAAGGGGACGACAGAGGACAAGATGGTTGGACAGTGTTCTCGAAGCTACCAGCATGAGTCTGACAAAACTGTGGGAGGCAGTGGAAGACAGGAGTGCCTGGCGTGCTCTGGTCCATGGGGTTATGAAGAGTCGGACATGACTAAACGACTTAACAACAACAACAACAATGCTTATGTAAGGATGCACATTTGTAAATGCTACAATGAAAATACAAGACCTCTCACCATAGCAGGGAAGAAGCTGTGCCCGCTCAATCTAACCGTTGGTGGGCAACTTTAAGGTCCATCCTGCCCTCCTTTCTTCCTGTTCTTTATTTTTAAACTGGACTTGGACTGTAGCGTATGTGTTACCAGCTAAATAAGTGCCACATGGCCCCTTTAAGAGAAGCAACTTTGACCAGAAGACCAGCTCCTGGAGAGCTAACCCAGTGGTGTGGCCTGGCTCCCAGGCCTCATGAAGAATAAAGTCTGCTATAGCATTCACTCAGTTTTTAGTGAGTTTCTGCGAAAACAGCAGAGGACGAAACACAGAACCACCCTTCCAATACAGGGCACCTGGCCTCCCTAGGTGGAACCCGATTCTTTTAGGTAGGTTTGGGGGCTAGCGAGCCCAGAGTTTGGTTGTGTAGCCAGTGCAGTTCACCCAAAATATACCGCTTTAAAAGTCAAGCAGGTTAGGGAGGAAAAACAACAGCAAGCCTTCCTTATTTATGTTCTGGCAAGTACCTGAAAGCAGAACAACTAAAGAAGCCTGCGTGTGTTTTTCTGGTCAGTTGACCATTATGTGAGACGGGATGGAAATAAATAGCTGTGGACCCTCATCTATGAAGGCCTACATTACACCGAAGTCCTTTCAACACTCCACAGTGACTGCTATTTTTCTTTTTTTATTCTTATTTTGTTCTGACCCTGCTGTTCTGGTGATTGCAGCCATCTCTCTCCTGCTAGCTTAACAACCCAGCTGTAGCTTGGCATACTTTAGAGGGGCACATTCCAGGTCTCGCCACCACCACCACCGACATTTGAGCCATTAGACACAGCAATATATCTTTTGGGGCTTCATTAGAGGCTCCAACTATTATAACGGAACCATTTGAGAGCAATTTTACCAACGCACATACCTTTCCAACGTGTGGCCACACAGTGAAGGATTATCCTAACATTGCGGCATTCATTTCTTTGCTGCACAGAAAATGTCTCTGACTTGCAATTCAGGCCCAATTAGCATAATTAGCCATATCGCATACAATTAGCCATCGCCGGCGGATGCAAAACGCGGACACCAGGCTAGTCGTCAATAATGTTAACGACTGTACATTTAATATCGCATTTGAGAGGCTGTTTGTACCTGCTTTTCATAAATAATCCATTTCTTCGAGGATGCTATTTGTCTTCAGTAATGAATAAGTGACATATTTCTCCTTCGCTTTCCCAGCACGCAGAACCAGCCTCAGCCATTCAGTGACTGCTAACTGTGCGTTAATATACAAAAAAGGAGATACTCAATCCTGTAACCCTATCTCGGTTTTTCAAAGTGTGTCAAGTCAATAGTGCAAAGACTAAAGTTACTCGCCTACTTTCAGCTGCCTACCTTTCAGACATGTTGCGCGGCTGCGTGAAGCTTTCAAGGCTCCCATGAAGCTATTTGCCTTCCGAAAAAGCATCTCCCCCCATCTTCCCTCTTCCTGGCTTTGCAACACGGCATCCCTTTGACAGAAACACAAAAACCCCTTTGGGGTCTTGGCTGGAACTCTTTGGATTCAGTGTCGCTAAGGAGACAGCCTGCTCGACTCGCGATGCTCGTCCACCTGAAGGAGGTACTGTTACCAATCTCTTAAGTGCATCGAAGGATTTCCTGTGTGGTTCCAGCCAATAGCAAAGAACCCTTTATTTCCTCGGGAGTTTTCTAGAGGCTGACAACCCACACGAGGTTATACATGATTCATCAATGGGATAAATCTGCCACGTTCTCAATTATTTCCAGATACTAGCATTTTTTATTACCTGATTAAAGAGGAATGGCAGAGTAGCAGTTAGGTTTTTGCCAGGGGGCCATTTTGAGAACGGATTAGAGCAGCCAACCCAGCTTGGTGCCTTCCAGAAGTTTTGAACTACAACTCCCATCCTCCCTGGCTGGCTGGAGCTGATTGGAGTTGTGGTTCAAAACAACTGGAGGGTATCAGCTTGGGGAATGTCGAATTAGAGTGTGGAGGATCAAGACCGAAGTCCCTGTTCTCCAAAGTGTATTGTGGCAGAGTGTGTGGTCTGCCTGGGTAGCTCACGCCTGGTTTGCTCCAAGAAAACACACATGGCAAAAAGGAGCACTGGGCCCTGGTGGGCAGCCCCCTTACCCGCTTGTGATTGGCCAAGCAGATAGCCAGCCAATCAGGACGTTTTCCATAATTAAAAATATATATGTTTTTTTCTTCTTCATTTCTCACTTCCCTCTGTGGCCCCCTAGCCTCCTGCTGTGGTCCCGCATTTATGTGATTTTCACCTGTGGCCTCCTTGGAATATCCTGGGGTCTCCCAGGGGGCCATATGGCCCCCAGTTGGGAAATACTGGGTTAGAGCAAGGTGCTGATAACACCAAAGTCGTAGGTTCGATCCCCATATGAGACAGTTGCATATTCCTGCACTGTGGGGAGTTAGACTAGATGTTCCACAGGGTTGCTTTCAACTCTACATTCTATGATTCTATGACAATTGGCCTACCTGCTAGCTCTTCCATTTACTCTACAATCCCTACAATGTGGAGGAACAGAAATAGTAGTAGTAGTAGTAGTAGTAGTAATAATAATAATAATAATAATTTATTAAATGTACTCTGCCCATTTGTCCCGGCCTCCCCAGCCACCCTGGCTGGCTGCCAACAGAATATTATAAACACGATAAAACATCAAACATTAAAAACTTCCCTAAACAGAGCTGCCTTCAGATGTCTTCTAAAAGCCAGATAGTTGTTTATTTCCTTGACATCTGATGGGAGGGCATTCCACAGGGCAGGTGCTACTACCAAGAAGGCCCTCTGCCTTCAGAAATGCAATAGCTCTGGTATAAATATGCCGCAATGAAGCTGCCTTGGTTTAGACTAGTTATAGAATACATGGAGTCCAGGAGCAGGGAATCTACAGCCATTTCCCATCAGCTATTATTGACTATGCTCTCTGGGGCTGATGGGAGTTGGAGTCCAGCAGCGTCTGAAGGGTCACAGGGTCTGTATTAGTGTAAAATAAATAAATAAATTCGACACCCACAAAATTTGTAATCAGGACTGAGTGGGACCCTTGACTTGATTAAGGCTGAGTGGGCGCCTTGATATGATGGGTTTGCTGTGATTATATATTTTAAAAAGTCAATGGAAAATGTTAACCTTTTGCATGTTTTTCTCTAGGCCATGTTAATAGCTTATTAGCTCATTATCTACTTATGTGTTGGACGGCTCCGTTAATTGAATTACATTTATTGATCAAATGAACTGTGTTTTGCAAAACAAATACTTAACTACAGGGTTTTTTGAAAAAACAACAACAAAATAGCATGCTAGCTGAGCACCCAATCACATGGGCACAGATTTGCCTATATGTTCATTTTTCACCTTGCAAAAATAGATTTAATAAATGCAGTTGCAAAGCTGCTCCAGGAATGCATCTATTGCATTGTTATTTTGTCCTATGTTTCTCTGCTCCACAATTCTTTCCTAACAACAACTCTGAATAGGTTACACTGAGAGGTACTGCCTGAAGCAGTCATGTAGTGAGCCTTATGCGCAAGTGGGGATTTCACCACAGGTATAGCCCGATAGAGGAAGGTGAGTGATGTCAGTCAAGAGGTGTCCACAAATCGGCAAGCATGCAAATGCTGAATCAGATTTTGATTTCCTCATCCCTGGGCTTGAGCTGAGCTAAATGCCTGAGCAGCCATGACAGGAGGAAAACCAACATCTGTATTGTGGGGAATGATGCCACTAGGCTAGGGCCTAAGGCATGACCCCTATCGGTGACCCCCAGGGGAGCTCCTAGTTGATGTCCATCAGCAGGACTTCCCCTACTGGTGGTTAACCCTTTCCGGACTCCTTGCAGATGGGCTGGAGTCAGATATATTTGGTTAAATCCAATGCCTAAGCTAGGGTTACCAGACGTCACCGGTTTCTGGGGACAGTCCCCAGATTTGCAAATCTGTCCCCAGACAAATTCCATCCCCAGAATGTCCCCAGATTTGAAAATCTGTCCCCGGGAAACGTGGCAGCGGCAGCCTCAGCAGCCCGGAGCCAGCCTGGTAGCGCAGTTGGCTCTGGCTGACTTCAGGAGCTGCTTGCTGCTGTGGTGCCCACCATTTTTCCTCTCCGGAATGGCGGGCGCCACAGCAGCAAGCAGCTCCTGAAGCCAGCCAGAGCCAACTGTGCTGCCAGGCTGGCTCCGGGCTGCTAATTGCCGCTGCCACCGCCATTGCCAAAGGGGTACTGGGGACATTCAGTGGTACAGATCTCCTGCCCCCTTCCCCCTTTGTTGTGACTGATCAGAGGAGGCTCAGGAATTGCAGGTGGGTGGGCGTTGCCCAGTTTTTTAAAAACTCTGTGCATTTATGTTTCACAGGGTGCAAAAGAAGGGCTTTGAACGTTTATACAATATGCACATGTGCTTGGGCATAGGGTCTTTTGCCTCACCATCCCCACTACTGACTCCCTGTTGCTACTCAGCTTCAAAAAAAGTGTGCCCGGATTCATTGAAAAACATCTGGTAACCATAGCCTAAGCCAACACTGTAACCAATAAAGTTGTGGCCTTTTTTAGCCCATTAACCTAAATATTTGAGTCATGTGTCATTATTCTACTAAGGGGGGGGGGGGACCTTGCCACACAACCTCCCTCACCCCCAGTGCAAAACCCATTCACACATACACACTGGTTGCTATGCAGTAACTAAGGCCTGAACTATTTCTTATCAAAGTTGATATATTCAGCACTGCTCACAACTAAGGTTTTCAATCTAATTGGGTTAAAAACACAGCTTCCTTTTAAATGGATAGAATACAATGAAGAGGTTCGATACACATTTTCAAAAAGCATTATTTTTGAACACATCAGAAGCATAAATATCTCTAATAAACATTAACATATTTGATGGCCAAATACACAAGTTCTGCTTATTAGCATTACCAGTTTACTGAAAGCATGTTTAAAGATGCATTTTAATTGTAACACTTTATCCTGGAAATTAGTCATGTCTTATTTCAAATTAGTCTCTTTCTCCTGAATTTTCCCATAAGTCACACACCCTCTTTTCGAAGTCATGAATGGCCATGTATTTGCTTGGAGTACACTGCTCCATGGCAAATTATTTGTTTCCCCCCCTACTTCTTGGTTTCAATGGTAAGACTTTTTCAAGCCTCCAGACTGTTTATTTTCATAGTACAGTACTAATGTTGTGGTCTTATTATTGATAGTGCCGCTGCTGTTTCACTGTTATCGTAATTGTGTTCCGTGATTTGTAATGAAAAGTTTTGTTTCTTTTTATGTAAACACCTTTTGGGTCACTTTCAGCACATTCAATAAAAGCAATAAAAATAAAATAAGTAAGTCTCAGTGCACTTTGCTTCAAAGGAAGGGCAGCGTAATATTCACACCCCTTTCCCCCAAGGAGAGCAAAGCAATGCCGGTCTATTATATATAAACCATTTACATATATATTACATGCTTCATTGTGAATAATACAATTGCACTGTTTCTGAGTGGCTCTGTGAGTCTAAAGTTTCTCAAGGTCACTTTGGAACAAGACTGAGAGTTTCTAGCACTGAATTGAAAGGGAGAATCCATTTGTGCACTGGGCATTGTACTCATCTGCCGATGCACTAAGTATGCCCATGTTCATTGCTCCACGTATTTAATGACCTCACTTTGGGATTGTGCTCGTTCTGTAGTCTAGACTCTTCCATTAGCTTGTGTCCATCACTGTTGCTCTAACTTGCGAGGAAGGCCCTGGGGGAAGCTGCAGTCAGCGTCTTTGAAAGACAAAGTTGTAAGACGCCAGTCAGCTTCCCTTGGGCTACAAGAGCAGAAGCCAATGGAATATATGAGTGTGCTGTTTTCCTGGTCGAAACGTGGGCTGATGCTGAGGCAGCAACATTCCCCTTGCTCCTCAATTATTTGTCATCTCCCCAACTGAAGCAATATTTAAAGAGACAACAATCTCACACGTCGCCAACAGGCTGAACGCATTCGATGTTCAAAATAAAACATAGCAGTGTTCTGCTCCAGATACTTCATCAACCAAAGAGGAGTTTCTGTAACCTGTATGCGTTATACATGGTTCTGGCAGTTCCTTCACTGCGAGAAGTGAGGTTACAGGGAACCAGGCAGAGGGCCTTCTTGGTAGTAGCGCCCGCACTGTGGAACGCGCTCCCGTCAGATGTTAAGGAAATAAACAACTATCTGACTTTTAGAAGACTTCTGAAGGTAGCCCTGAATAGGGAAGTTTTTGTTTTTTGAATTTTTAGATGGTTTATTGACAATCTTATATAACAAATATAGTGTACATTTTCTTAACTAAACAAAAATATAAACCGTATAAACGAAAAGCATATACAAGTGATTTTCTATATATTTACAGAAATTAAGCTTAATTTATATTTTTACTACCTCTTATTTCCTTGTCTATTTACTAACATAAATTAAAAGAATATAATTGGGCTTCCTATCATTTCCCGGTGTGTACTCTCATTCTGATAATGAATGTACCTGTCATTATTAGCTTATTCTTTGTATTTATTCTAATACATTCTTACAACAGTTTGTACCGTTTGTCTTATTTCTCA